GTTGCAAGACTGGTCCCTTTTACAACAGTTATTCTTGCTAGGTGTCATAGCGAATGTTATCCACAATTTACAACCGAAATGGAAGCTACCATGGAAGCTACAATAAGGGTGAGAATGATGGGAGCCCTATAGCTATTGTGTGACCATAGAAAAATATCTATCGTTTGATATTACGCTCTATTGTTTATTTAATTTCACACTCTTTACGGCAATATTTGGACGACGCTTTGGACAGCGCCCCAAAACAGTGTCACATCATCCCAATTTTAATCATTTTCTCAGTGAAAATTAAGTATGTCATGCAAAAATAATATTCACACACTAATCTTGATTCACATCGCAATATCTGTCAAAATAATCATGCAGCCTTAGCATGGATGCACATGTGCATGAAGACAAAACAAACAAACATGGGGGAGAGTGAAAGTGACACAGAACAGGGTAATTCTCAAAAGGAGAAGGGGCTACTTCAGGTATGTGTTGTGGCTTTTATTGTTGTTTACAACTATAATTGAAGAGAGTTTTCTATTTATCTATTTATATTTTAAATAGATTTTGATAAAATGAAAAATGTAATCAAATATGAGTTGGTAGTTTTTATTTGTCAGGTATACAATAAAATATAGGCTTTTTAATGCAGTCATTCATTGAATTTACAGAAAATGTGCTATATCGCGATATATGTATCTTTATCTGGATATAAAACGACCTATATCTGGATATGAGATTTTGGACATACTGCAAGAGCAATTTCTGCAAGCTAATATGAAAGCTACTTACAACACAACCAATGTAGTCCACACTGATTGTAGATCACTGAATTGTGCGCTATAGGGAGCTGGGTTATTTGGGTGAATATACATATTGCATCAGATTCAGTCTTGTCATAGCATGTACAGAGAACTTCTAATGAAATGATAATATAGACAGCAGTTGTAGTGCAGCCACAGTTCTGAATTCCAAAGCTTAGTGCACTGCGTTGTTGTACGGGGAGAAAAGCAGAGTAGAAAATAATACACACTCTATTGTATCTTTGCTAATACTAAAGGCTTAAGACTATGTGCTATTGATTACCAGTTGCAGGACGTCTGGGACTGAAAAGACTGAGTAACTCTGAGATTAAAGGAGCCCGTTCAGCAGCCTGTCAAACTGGGGATTAAATGTTAAACTGATAAAATGTTAGTCAAGGAAAAATAAACATTGCAGTCATCTAGAAAAGCACATTCGTATGTATTATAATGTTGCTTGCACCGTAGTGTGTGTATCATTCAATATTTCAGGGTCATATGCAAACATAATGCATGAGGCTGCATGGAAACAACGTGGGTTCAAGTGTATCCTGGACAGTGCAGCTATCTATGGCCAACCTAGAAATACACTATTATGACGCCGCAATCTACCATGCAAATTTACAACAATGTAAACGACAGCCTGCCCATGTTTCCATAGCAAACGCCCTACTGGGAGCCTTGGCAGCGGTGGACAAATTTACATCCAGAATGCAAAGTGGCGGTTTACCAGCCCGGTTGATAAGGCCCGCTGACGTCTACCAGAAATGCAAGGCTACGCAGTTCTCAGGTGACTGTTAGGCTGTGTGTCAGGGCAGTCAGACTGATGACCATGTTTGTTGCATAACTAAACTATGCAGTGGTCAACCACACGCAGGTTCAAAAGGCCCATGAAGGTGTTCTCAGGGACTTTCTAGGAAAACCTGACTGATAGGAACAGATGGATACAACCTGTTGAAAACATTCATATATCCGTATACATCTTCCCCAGGCCTGCCTATACAAATATACACTATGTTTGAATAGGCTTCAAAAGCTAACACTGGCTATAAGGCACAACAGGTCTCGCAGAGGGGTTCAACAACTGACATTTTTAACCAGGATTTCTATGAGCACAACATTTACACAAACGGGTGGTAACACTGCCAGGTCTTACAACATCACGCAATGCAACACAACAGCTCCACAATCTATGGCTTCATAATTACCATCAAGGTGAGTCAACACTTCTGGCAAGGACAGATAGGAGTTCTGTCAACTGAACATAATATCAGGCATTATCTGCTGCAGGTCCATACAGTCAGCTGCTGCCCCTGGAAGTATTCTTTCTTCACCATAAATTGCCATTTAAAAGGAGATTATTTTACACATTGAGCTTGATGTTACTCAACACTGAATCACACCAGCCTTCTGGATCATTTCGCAACACCTCAAGATTATAAATGCTTCATCTTGTTTCTTAATTCTTTTTGTTTTGTTTTGTTTTGTATCAATTTCGTAAGCGATTGAAGGACACAATGAGCGTAAACAGCTGCCCATGGCTTTACAATGAAAAGCATTTCAGGAACAAACACTGCACCAGAACTGAACCAAAATAAAGAACTGGACGTATTTAAACTTCTGTTCTCCACAGCTCAACCTCTAACTCTACACTTCCCATTACCCTTGCGAGCGTCCCTGCTAATTCAATATTTGGACTTCAGTTGACTTTTCTCTTTAAGTCATGTACACAGTCTTGTGCCTTTGACTTTATCGCACATGCTGATTTTGCAAACCAATGATCAACAGGGACAGTTTCCTGCCCGTTTGAGTAAATGTTCAATCATCCTGTCATTTAACTCACTCTTTGGGAAAAGGGAAAAGGACTTTCATCTCTGAAATTCTGGACAACATATTCCCCACTCTGCCCACCTCTTTGCCTTGTTACAACACAGATCTGTTAAATCTCTGCTCTAATTAGAGACCCTTTAGTGATGGATTTCTTATATGCTTATACACTTCAAAATTAACTTTATTGTCCACCGGCAAATACCGGTAAAAAAAACGGTAATTTTGTGTCCATCTATAAAGGTTGATAAAATTCAGAGAACTGGTGCAGCAGTATGGTGACATCCACATACCCAATGTTTCAAGCAGCCACACTGATTATGTTCTAAATGACTTCAAATTGGCTACAACATTTCATTTCTTATCCATTTAAAGTCTTTATTAGAATTCATTTCACCATCCCAGTTTGTTCTATTGAAGAATATGCTCATCTCAGAGCCTAAGCAGACTTGGGTAACCTATTTTGAGTGGACCCAAATATCTCAACCAAAAGTACTACATTTACTCTAGACATATGGTACTAATCACACAGCGCTGCAGTTAGACACTGTAAACAAAGTGAGCCGAGAGTGGACGACCAACCCTGCAAATTTAGGCTTGAAGGAAGTCTGAATGAGCCTGGGTTTACTACAGGAACACATCAAAGCTCAACCTTTCCCAACAGGATGCTCCCTAACTATTATCCTGCTGGTGTCCTCAGAGCGAGCTTACATGAAAACTGACCCCGTAATTGCTGCAGTCGAGCCTACTGTGGGAATTAGAAAGGCTGCCATGTGACTAGTCAGATAAGGCTGGATGGCTGGATAATTCCACCGCCTGCGTCTGTGTGTGGGGGTGTGTGTGTGTGTGGTCACATGTGATCATCAGAGTGGGAATGGCAATCAGCTTGAGGAATGTCCACACCACAACACAAGGAGCTGATAGTGAAAAGAAGCCATTTAGGCAATAGAGGCGATGAGGAATCCTGGTATAGCTGTATAGCTGTCCTGGATGAATGTGTAACAGCATCTCTGGGCTGACAAAGTTCAGCTGTTGCCAACCCAACCCAGGGAGTAAAGTGCAACAGGAAGGCCATGAGAGAGAACATCTCCTATGTGCTTCCTGATAAATGCTCCCTACTTCTTACATAAGTACCACTGACTGCATCAATCACAACAGAGCTTTACCCAGCGCTGTGCATGCTGTGTCCTATCTAGATGTACTCCTATAATAACCTGATCTGACAGCAAAATGCTCTCATAAAAAGGCACCTTTGACTCCACAGAAGGTTCAGTAAACAGGCCTATGAGACCCTGCTAGGTGTTTATCAGAGATCAACCAATGGCTGCTCAAGTTAAAAAAAAATAAACTGCCCACGAGCTAAATTGTGAGGCAGAATGCAGCGACAGCAACGTGAAGCACATCTGTTTGTTGTTCCGCCAAATGCCCTGACCGCACGGCTAACGCTAGCTAACTCCTGTGTACAGTTCAGTAGAAGCAACCTGACAGCCCCCTAGCACAAACACCGACGATAAGCGTTAGCCCCGATCACATGGCTAGGTTTGAAATCCCCCAGACGAAAGCTAAAACAAACAGTCTGGAGGCATTCCCCTCTGGTAACTTAGCTGTAGCGACCCAGCTAAATGACAGTCTAGCGAGTAGACAAGTAAGCTAGTAGCTGCACAGACATGAACGTCACTCAACGCTAGCTAACGCTGGCTAAGGTGATGTGGGCTAAGCTAAGTGGCTCACTTTAGCTGAAGTTATCACGCATTAAAGGCTGCCCACAGCTGTTTTGGCAAATACTGTCAAGCCAGCCCATCCCTCCTGGTTAGCCAACACTAGCGCCACAAGCAAGGCTTTGGTAGACGTGGTGAAAACGTCACGCCAAGCCCAGTCTAAAAATCTGTAAATTTTACGTGACCTTGCTTATAAGCGAAAGCACACACCTCGTAAAACACCTGCAGTACAATTTCCACATTGCTATGTGGAATTACTCAATTCGGGTTGTGTACAGAATCAGCAAAACGACGTTTATCTACAATGTCTTAAAACTTTAATGGCTGGGAAACGTTTCCTACTGCAGCCCAGCTGAGTGTTTTGGGGAAAGGCGACTGCGAAAATACATACTTGGCTATTGTTTAACTTAACATATAATTAAAATCCATGACACTTTCTGACATTTTTCTTTGCCGAATTAAAAAACGGATACCAGTGGTTCCGTGGAGGCCATGTGTTATTCTTTAACAGGTGACTACCTTATTCAATAACAAATCCCACTTAAACCGCTAGATTTTAACGTGTGGTCAGGACGTCCTCCCCTGATGTACCGGGCTAGCCTAAAAGCTGACAGTTAGCTAAGCTAGCGCAACTGAGGTGGATTTAGCCCTTTGCTTTTCGGCTTACCTCTCTTGACGGCCTCGTCATACGACAGGAATCCTATCCTCGACTCTTTTGCCCCCATGCTCCCCTCATTTCATTGCGATGTGAGGAAAAAAACCGTTATGAACTGAGTTGACCGGGACTGTTTGTCGCCTTCTCGGTTTATTGTGAAATGGGTTCCTGGTGGTGTGTGTATGTGGTGAACGGGTGAATGTTTTCAGCGACGCCTCCATTCTGTCACATGATCTGACTCCACAGGTCAGTTGATCGGATCCTTCAGACGCTTGTAAACACAACCGACATGACACACGAAAACGTTTTATTTTGACCGCAATTAAGTCATAAAGTTTTCCCTCTGCTCTTGCAGATTATAAAAATGTATTTTGACTCATTATGCGCTGTCATACTCGGCTGTGTGAGCATGTGTTAGTGTGAGGAGTGGAGGTTGTAAAGAAGTACTAGTAGCACCATCTTGTGGTGACTCTGCTACATGACACCAGTTTACACCCTCCGCAGCGTCCTCCAGTGCCAGTTAAACCTAAACCTAAAGCAGGGGCTCCCAACCATTTTCCTTAAGGGCCCCCTGCTATCATTGAGTAGACTGACTATATGTATGCATTATATTCAATGCATAACAATAAAAGTACAGGACAATTGTAAAAGGTGAACACAATAACTGCAGGAAGTTTGTACAAAATTATTATTATTATAGTAGATTATTTCCTGTAAATATTGCATCAGAGATGAGTTCTTGCTGATATTTTTAAGAACTTTTTATACAATTGTCTGTCTGTACTATTTTAATTTTGTTTTGCTTTTTGTATTTTTTAATAGTCATAAATACTTAATAGGCTTCTTTTTTGACAAATTCAGTGTTCTCTTTCTCTTTGTCTTTCGTTGTATTGTTGTGTGATGTTTTAACTGCATACTTAAATGTAGGATGATGAGATATATGTATATTTTTAAAGTTTTCCTACATACCTGAAAATCAAGAAGGCCTCGCAACCCCCTTTGAAGTTTTGATAAACCCCTGTAGGGGTCACGACCCACAGGTTGGAAACCACTACTTTAAAGTTTTCAGTATAGCTCTACAATCTATTATTATTATCAGGTTTGGAGAGTTGCTTCAAAAATATCATTTGATACAATTACTGATTACCTTTTCAAATATTAGTCAGTATAGTAATCTAATCCAAGTATGAAAATACAATGTATCCTGATTACATAACTCAGTTACGTGTAATCTGTGACTCAGACACAGGATTATGACATTGTGTATAGGATATAAAGAAGTCATGTTAGTTGTCATGTTAAGTTGTCACTTAACAGTGGCTGAATATAGTGAACATACTGAAAGATCAGTCGTCTCTACCACCACCTCAAGGTCCAGACCCATCAACTACTGCAGCCTCTTCACCATCCTCTTCTTCGTTTCCTGAACAGACAACCCGGAGTCCTTTCTGCTGCTTTTCATTTGGCAAACAGATCAGCCATCCTTCTGTAGGACATGTTGGTCCAACTGCATTTATCACAATGTATTAAATGATCATGGATTGGTTGTGTGGCAGAGAAAATGCTCACAGGACACAACAATACCATGTGCTCTTCTTGTCTCAATGTGATGTTTAAAAATATTGTGTGTTAAGTTCTGACAGTGATCACTTACTGTATTGGTTTTACACTTGATTGCTTTGGTACAGCAACAGTAGATCTTATTGGCTGTCACAGGACTGATAATCTGTGAATAAAATCAGTTCCTCTGGCTCATTCTAGTGATCCTAATGGCATTAACAAGAATCCAGGTTATTTTTAAAAAAGCTACTTCCTGCAGCTTTAAGAGTACCTGAGGGTCAAAATGACACCAATACACGATACCTTCACTCATTTGAATGTCCAAAGGAACATGTCCATTTCATCAACGTAGATGAGTAAAGGGAAAGTCTCTATTGCCTTTACTGTAGAACAACCAGGACAGTGAATCATTCCTGCTGATTAAACATTTCTGATGTAGGAAAAAGCCAATAGGCAGGTTGTTGATATATAAGCTGCAGTTTGAATACAACAGGGAAGTTGTGCTACAGATGAACACACATTGGATTTGGATCTTTTGAATGAACACAAGTTGTACATTAGGTAGTAACACTGATTTTATACATGTAGCTGTTGTCACATGACCACCATGTGCAAGATGGATGAATAATGAGTACATTTATTATTAAATGAAGCACACAGATAGGAATATATCCAATTCAATCTCTGTATTGTTGTAAAAGTCAGAACAGATTCAAATCTAATATTCCAATTCAAAGCAAACACAGCAGTTTAGATGGCATGTATGGGCTGTGGGAGGAAACGCAGACACGGGAAGACCACAAGTGTTAATCCCTGAGCCAACCAACCTCAAAACATCTGGAACATTTCCAACATATCTGAGTTTATCAATCTGTACTCACTAAAATATATGCAGCTATTCTGTCCACCTCCATTGACACAAATGGAGACGGACAGAATGTTAGAAACAAGCTTCATTATAATGGAGTTTTTAGATGGCACAGGTCGGCCTCTCCAGCTGCTCAACTGACCGCTGCTTCCCGGGCTCTGTGGGGATTGGTCCTTTCAGAGGTTAATGACAAAGTGAATAAGTGCAGACACTCTGGAAAATCAAGGGCCGCAGGAAGAACACAAACACACATGCAAAGAAAATACAAATACAAAGCTACTAATACTTCCTGCTCACAGTCAGTGTTATTAGAAATGCAGCTGCAGCTGCAATGTCACTAACACCACTGACACATGCCGCTAATGCTCATATCATTACTCTCAATACTGCCTGCATTCATTTGGAAGATCTTCTCTACATTATCTCATTATTAAATAATATTATATTGGTAGCTCTGCTGCTGCCAGTGGTAGCACACGGTAGTACACATAATACATGTTTCCTGTTGTTCACACACTAGTTTATATTTCTAACACTGACCTGGAGTTTAATACTAGACAATACTAGGTAAAAAAGGATTAAATGAAACATTGCCCTGAAGCTCTTTCCCTTTTCGATAGGCTTTTTTCAAAGATCTGTCAAATTAGGTTTTTTAAGAAACCGTAGAGACAAAATGTTGCAATACTTAACATTACTTATGTACGGCTAGGATTTAAAATAAATATTTTGCTGTTTTTTTATAGATGTTTTAAATTAACTCTAAAAGAAATGCACAGTAACAGTGTTGGACTTGTTACTTAAAAAGGTTTATTTATTACTCATTACTCTTTTCAGAAGTAATAGTATTACTCCCTACCAACAGTAATTAGTTACACTACTAGTTACTAGAGAAAGCAATGTTATTATTACTAAAATTACTATTATTATCAAACCAACTGCTTTCCACTGGAGAATAAAGACTCACAAATCTATGGTTTCATTTTGAATGTCCTGAACCAGCTGTACACTGAAGCTTTTAACAAACATTACTCAAACAGCAGTGAATAGAGCATATGTGGGGAGTATCTTCAGTGTCAGATTCATACACATTTAGTGCACTAGTGAATATTTCTTGCAGCAGGACAGAGTGTGTAGGACTGACTCCAAATGAACTACAGTGTGTGTGTTACAGTGTGTGACTCATTGATGGTTTTTAATAGTTGTTGGACAGAAAGAGTTGGGAATATGTAGAATGTGTTTGAGTGGCGGTGGAATTGCCACTAATTATACTGTACCTGCTGATCCAGCTAGCCCCGCCCCTTTACCTGTGAGGGGTCCTACATCTCCGGACTGAGAGGAGAATCCACCACGCCAAAACTTCCGCCATCACTTCCTGTGCGATGGCCAGTGGAGCCCAGGGGGGCATGTGCACAGAGGGTCTGGGGCCACTGAACACCACTTCAACCTCAAAATAACCCTCACTGAGTCTGCGGCGTCTCGCCTGCTGCTCCCTCTGTCCCCTCCTCCTCCTCCTCCTTTCCCGAGCCTGTTAGAGAGATGGACAGAGGACAAAAAGGAAGACACTGGTCATACTAGTTCAGTAAGAAGAACGAGACAAGTCATTCGGGTTGAGGAAGAGTGTGGAGGTCACTCTGGAACACAAACATCAAGACCATTCACAAGTCAGTGACATTTTCTAAAAGGAACAAAACCATTCAACTTATTTATTGTTAAATGCTGTGCTGTCACAATGCCTTCTGGGAATCTTCACTCATTGATTTCCTGCATTTTTTCAAATATTACTATTGGCAACCTCCCCACAGGGCAGAGTGTTTTGGGTGGACTACTCACAGTCCGGTGCCGGGCAGCCTGTAGTGCTCCACGCTGTGGGCCAGAGGTGGACTGCTGGGGCCTGGGGCTCCTCTCTGGCTGGACAGGGCTCACCCGTGGGCCAGAGGTGGAGGCGTGGGGGCTGGAGCTCTTCTCAGTGCAGGACCTTTTTTCTGCAGGCTCCACGAGGGCTCTGGGACTGCTCTCCTGCTCCCTCTTCCGCTTGCTGTTTTCCTGTTAGAGAGATGGAGAGAGAAAAAAGAAGAAATCAGGTCAACCTCGTTCAGTTTAATTCCTTTCAGACTGACGCAGTAGAGTCGGATACATATTTGGCATCAAACTGAACTGTGATCAAGACAGGACAGAGCAGTAATCAATCTCATTGATTTTTAATGTTCACAGCGTTCCAATGGTTACTTTTGTGGTGTACTCACACTCCCTTACCTTGTCCAGTCTTATAGAAATTTCCTACATTTTCGTGAAGCACTTAAAACAACCTCCAGTGAAGGAAATTATTTGTGCAGTGTATTAAAATACACAAATATTCTACAAACCTTAGTTACATTATGAAATGTAAAGATTATTAATTATTTTGACATTAGACATTTGAAGTAAAACTGGAAAAAGACAGGTCTAATAATCTAATGATCTGTGCAGTGTCTGGTACATTTGTCTCCTTTGCTGGAATTCAGATGAAATTAAATCTAGCTGGAAATGATTGTATCAGCTCTTTGCTCAGTAGATTTTATGTACATAAATGTGTTCAGGAGTTTAGACTTTAAAAGGCTCTACTCTTAACAACTGCCTTTGGTCCTCTCCAGATACTGCAAGGCAAATATTCTCTAAATATATGATATGATGCAGTCTAACAGTCTCAACTCCAGTCAAAGAAAAATGAGGAAATTATTAATGTGACATTTTAGCCTGCACTGATAATACTGCAGGTATTTACTTAAGCTAAATACATGCTTTTATAGGGAGATATAGAGAATTTTATTAGCCTCAAACAGTGTTTAAAATCATTTAAACATTCAGTTTTCCTGTTCACCTAATTACTTACTTATTTAGCTAACTGTTAGCCAACTTAAGTTACACTATTTGTGCTTCTGAACCTTAAACATATGCAGGGTGTCTAACAAAAAGGCTTTAACACTTTAAAAATGATTTACTTACTTTTGTGTACTTTTTGAAATTTGAATTATTCACACTGAAATCTGATTATTATTATTATTTACAGGAAATTTGTTAATTTGAACTTGCGACTCTCGTTGGCTAATATTAATGTTAGCTAACAAGCTAATTACCAAACCTTTCCAGAAGGTCTGTTATTTAAAAAAGTCTTTTAAACGTTTTTAAAAGATTTGAAAGGATTTATTGTCCTTAAACTACATTTGAAGCAGAACATGAAACATATTCATGGTGTAATTTCAGGTTCAGAGACAGATTAATAGTCAAACAGATTACAGAGATGAAGCTAAATGGAAATCCAAGGGTGCCCCACAGTGGAAATATCTAGTTGGCTGACCAAGTTGTTAGCTGTAGCCCTTTAGTTTGTCTGGAGCCCTTTCAGATACGCTGCTGGATCTTATGTCTCCTGCTGTAGTGATTAGTGAACACATTTATATTAAAATGTTCATTACTTATCTGACATGTAGCTGACAACTTCTTCCCAGAAGGTCTGAAAATATAGAAATATCCTAACGTACTACAAGATTATAAAATGTGAAGTTAGGGAGTAAGCTGTAGGTAGTTTACTTTGGAACAAACAGAAGTTCAGGGGAAAAAATGATCAGAAGGGGCCCCTGGTTAGCTCACCTAGTAGAGCTGGCGCCCATGTACGGAGTTGCTGCAGGGCCCAGGGTTCGAATCTGACCTGCGGCCCTTTGCTGCGGGTCATTCCCTCTCTCTGCCCCCCCTTCCTGACTATCTTCAGCTGTTCTATCAATAAAGGCAAAAAAGGCCAAAAAAATATATATTAAAAAAAATAAATAACACACTGTAGGCCTATAGCCTACCATTAGTGTTTCTCAAACAGGGAGCGGGCCACTTCTATGGAGGCCGCCATGTTGAACCACTAATGTTTCTACAGTAGCCTTAGAACAGACAAACCAAACATTGGCTCTAGATAGGACCTTTCACATTTTTGAGAGTTTTGTCAAACAATGTATTTTACATTAGATTTGTTTTGTCCATTTCTTTTTCCATTTGAGACTGCTTGGATTCTGATGTTTTCTTCACACTGTATGTATGTTGACAATTTAAAATCAAAAGGGTCAGGTTAAACTCCTTGTTTTTATGTTTGCCCCGCCTACTTACGCCCCCACCAATGAGGGCATGCAATTGGTTTCACAGCAAGGGCTTAGCAAAAATGGTTTTATTTTGGCTGCCCCTTTCACGTTTACGGGAAGGTTCTCCGCCAGACTCCATTATAAAAAGCACCAATTTAATCTAGGCTGACTCACTGACGAGGTAAACTTCGTAGAGCAACGCTGTTTAACGTCTATTGTTTTATTGAGTTTGGCGTTACGTTCTGTGCGTACGACAGCCTCGTCAGCTTCCCACGTCACCTAGTTGATAGAAACATGACAGCGCACACACGTTACGTTACAGCACGTTTCCAGCCACAGTAGCTGACTTTTGCAGCTCTTACACAATATACGGGGACACAGCGACCAATATATGACTATTATATTACGACAAATGCAGTGTGTGCTTGTTTTGATAGCTGGAGAGGCCGGCTTATAAGGCGGGTTGCATCATCTTTCCTTCCGGGATAACGCTCCGCTGTGTCACTCATAACTGACCGCAGATGGGACTCCAAGTTCTGCTGTACTGGCCGAATATTACCGGTGAGAAACACTCGGTTGAATTTGAAGGACTTTGTGTTAACGTACAGGAGCAGTTCACCGCCATTACTGTAAACATACATTAGCTAGACCGCTAGAATGTTAGAGCATCTATTAGTAATTAATAAGATTATGATTAATGGCAGAACATGGACGCTAAAAGATGTCTCTGTGATTACATTTGAGCTGCTGATTTAAGAGTAACGTTAGGACTGTGCCACAGAGCCCCTGTCACTGACTTTAAAGGCGACTCCAGCCTGAAACGTGTTTTCTGAGCAGTAGTTGAGTCGGTGTTCCTGCTGTGGTCAGTCTGTCAATCACTCCGATCGGTGTCGAGGCCCCGCCCCCCATACTCACTGTCCTTTGCAGGTGTCTGATGCAGTTTTTACATTAGCTGACAGGGAGGGGGTAGCACAACTGCTGGGTGTACTTACACTTCATTACTTAATTCACTTGTTCCACTGAGTTCTGTTTGTGTCTTTCAGGATACATTCGGATTGGCCTTGTGTTTGCAGCGTGGGCTGCCTATGAGACACCAGAAGTCTTTGTGTCTCTTTACTCCATCTCCATAGCCCTTGATGGTAAATATCTGTTTACCTTGTGTGACCTGTGAGGACTGGCTTTCCCCCCCACAATATGTTTTCATTTTCTTGTTTTTGAACATCCCATCAACAATACATATGTTAACAATACAACAGTTTTACACATACATTGATACATACAATTTACACACACACTAACTCAACTTGCATCAATATCAGATAGAATACAAATAAAATAAAACTTTTTCAATTGCATGTTTATTCTGTAATTTCAGCAAAAGCTTAAGTTTACGTCTTTAATTATTGTCATATTAGGCTCCCACAGCTGAACAAAGTATTTCCACTTGCCCTTTGTGATGTAAGTTAGCTTTCCAGACCGATACAGTCTGAACACTCTCTCATCCATATTCTCAATTGTGGTGCACTCTTCCAACATATACAGCAAAGCTGTCCAGGCTTGAAGTAGTCCAAAGTCCAGAAGTTTAGTCCTGTGAGGACTGGCTTTGAATTTACAATACAATAATAAGTCACTGATTGTGCACCTTATCTCTTCAGGCAGGCAGACCAATCGTCTGAGGATTTCTGAATGCAAAGTTGTTGCTTTAACAGCGGCGAGAAGGGTTACTAAAAAACATACGCCCCTTACACGCAGACGACTGCCACATGTTGCTGCCCTAAAGACTTTGAATTGGTTCTGCAGTGAAGAGCACAGACTGGCTTGTGAGTCTACCTTAGAAAGAGACGTTTTCATCCACAGAGGGAGCGGGTTCTCATCCATGCAGTCCGCCATGTTTCTACAGTAGCCCAGAACGGACAAACCAAACACTGGCTGTAGATTGAGTGTGTCTCATTTTTGCGTGGCCACCTGTAGTTCTCCTGACACACTTTAGAGAGCTGGTTGCTTAAGCAGTATGGTCACACCTGTAATGCTCAGAGTGTAGTACACAAACAAAGATGAGAAACAGCCCCAAAGAAATATCCTTTCACCTTTTCCTCAAAGGATCATTTTCTATCCATTTGTAAACCTAACGACCCCTGACCCTCTGGACATATGTCTGAATATTGGAGTGATTTGGATGAATTATGAGCAGATTATTTCCTGTTTAGGGAACTTTTGATAACAGTCTGTCTGTATTTTTTTTTTTTAACAATCATACAGACTAATAGACTTCTCTTTTGACAAATTTGTGTTGTATTTTGTTGTCCCTGGTGGTGGCCATTGTTCTATTAGACAATATACTTTACATTTACATTTCTTCACAGAAGTGAACCAAATGCTGAGATGGAGGCTTACTGTGCATGTTTTGTTCTTAAAGTGTTCTTACACCCCTTAAAATCAAGAAGCTTTGCAACCCCTAGTGGGGTCTGGACACTCAGGTTGGGAACCACTGCCTTAAAAGGGCCTATCTTGTCTCTCTGTCCCATTGATACTTTCTCAAGCCAGGGTTGTCTGATCAGCTTCTTCTAATGTCCCCACAAGCCCTACTGTCTCTGTCAGAGGCACCCTTGTTTCTGCTGGGTTGCAACGTGACAAAAACGTTATATTTCCCTCCACTGATGGTCCTTAAACAGACTTTTAGTCACACACACTCCATGAACACTTCTGATATGAATAATTTCCCTCACACAAGTCAAGATGTCTGCTGTGAAAAAGGCCTACAGTCCCACTGGTAGATTATGTTTTGCTCTAACTACAGACTTTAGCCGCAACGATTAGTCTGTAAATTGATAGTTGTCAACTATTAAATTAATCGTCAACCATCTATTAATAGTTTTGAGTCCAAAAATGTCCACATTCTCTGATTTCAGCTTCACCAATATGATATTTTGGCATAACCAGACTAATTTGAAAAATTGAAATCACTCATGACTTGACTTGTCAATAAGCGTTTGTTGCAGCTGTAGACTGGATTATTTAAAAAAAAGACCACCACTGTAGTATTAAAGCCTTTTTTATATGTATAATAACATACATCATGGCTGCATTCCCTTTAGCAGCTCTGATGTTGTGCATGCTGACTCAGAGGCATGCTTTACTATGGCACTTAAATGGAATTGAGCCAATCTTAAATGTTATTGATCTCACCTTTATCTGCTATATGTATTTAGTCATCATATCATATAAAAGATGGAGCCCACCGAATGGACGACCTGGGAGGAGTAGTTACTGCAGGGTGTGGGCGTTACGTCTCCGATATGTGATGATGTTTTCTGTGCAGGAGTGGACGGCTGGCTGGCGAGGAGGCTGGGCCAGAGCTCCAGGTTTGGGGCCTGGCTGGACGTCGTGGTGGACAACCTGGGCAGAGGCATGCTGTGGAGCCTTCTGTATGAGGTCTGATGGATGCAGAACATTCAACACACACAGTCCACACATGCTCACATTATTAGGCCGTGATGTTGCTGTATGATTATCAAATAAGAAATCTTCTCATGTGAGCCTCTCTGGTAGACACACTAGTGATAGCCATTACACAGGCTTAGTAGTATATGCTTGTTAATAATATTGTATACTGTAAATATATATCTTTCAACGCACATGTATCGTATTTTTTTTGTAGTACAAGTAAGTTTGTGTACAATGAGGAATCAGATTATTTCCTGTGAATATTGCATCACAGGTGAGTTTTCTGTTTTAGGAGATACGTATACAATTCTCTGTCTGTATTGTGTGTTTTTTATTTTTTAACAATCATACATATATTTAAGCCAACAATTGGTTTAGGTTGGGAACCACTGAACTAATGCCATGTTCTACAGATGCTTGTAGAACTTTTGTGTTCAACAAAGTGAAAAAAAAAAACATTCAAACTCGTTGATATTAAAATGAAAAGCCCCACTAAATGGTAGAGGGTCAAATTAAACATGATTTGTCTTAAAAAAAACAACCACTTTTATGAGCAGCCACTCAACCTTGTCTGTACAGATGAACTTATGCTGTATTTACTTGTGACTCTGAATCTTTCTTGTATGTCTGATGGAATAGTGCCACTGTGCCATATTTAAACTGATATTAATTGTCCCTTGTCTGATGTCCTATATATGCTGTATTACAGTGGGGTTGGCTAGTGTCTGCAGTGGAGTGGTGTGTGTTTGTGTGTAACCACAACCCCAGAGGTGAACAGTGGAAGAACAGCTTCACCACCAGCCCTCGATTTATACGGGCCATCATGGCAAACGGTAAGGAGTCTGTCACTGTAAATGAGCTGCTGTTGTAGCTGTACTGTGCAGCTCAAGATGAGTTCAACTTTGTGTGTGTGTCTGGTGCTGTTAGGGTTTCGGACGCCTCTCGGCACGTGGGTGGTGAGCGGGCTGCACTGCCTCCCGCTGTGGCTGTATGGGTGTCAGTGGGGTTTGCTGGCTGAGTGGCTGTACCTGCCTCAGTGGATCCAGACCCTGGGGACACTGCTGCTGGCTGCAGGCCGCCTGCTGGCTCTATCAGCGGAGGTAGGAATAACCCGCCATAATTACAAAAGTTGAAATTAGTGCTACTCATATTTCAGCTTATATTTGTTCATGTAAAGATGTCTCATCCATCTCTCTGCAGATGTGGTGTATATGGACACACATTGAATACCTTGCCAGTGATGAGGAGCCAGAAGAGAAAAACAACTGAAAGCCACTTAGCAGGGTCAGTGTTCTGTACACTGTGCTGTCTACTCTGGAAAAATCCAGAATAATCCATTCCACCACCTTTATATGAACAATGGCCTCAAGTCACATTTGGTTTTCTCCTCACTCAGCCATAGCTGTGGGTGAACGTGGTAAAATGAGCTACATTTTGACTTTTTGTTCTACTCCTGCATAAAAAAGTGTATTTATTTCAGATATCGCCTACCATATCAAATCCTTCTGGACATTTAGACTCCATTTACACCTGGTAGTAGAATGTGATCTGTATTTGGGCATGTTATCAACATAAAGAAAAACGCTTGTTAAAGCTGCAGTAGGTAATTTTCGTTGCCTTCAGGCCCGGTGGAATGCACTTATTGCATCTGCCAAATTTAAAAGAGGAAACAAATTGTTAAGAATATGTCATAGACAGTATTTCATAAAGTTTCCCCTAACTCAACAACTCACAAAACTCCAGAATTTTAAGGAAGCCTGCAGCTGATTTTCCACAACGCATTACTCACGCAGGTTTCGCTCTGGAGCAGCAAGATCCCATCTCAATGAGGATAACAAGAATGCATTCTAAATACTATGTGTAAGGTAAGATCGGATCATTTATCTTTGGGATAACGTGTCAGATCACATTATAATGCCAGGTGTAAATGGGGTGTCAGATTAATATATGTGACTGCTTTAGAGGTACAGCACGAATAGCATTTTGCACATAAATAGGATTTGAATATCTTTGTTAAACCAGTGAACATGGTTGATTTGTGTGTGTGGCTGCTGAGATACAAGATGTCTCCTCTTTACTGAGAGACTGTAACAGTTTGCGGGCATTCAGATGCACTTTAAAAGCCTCTGGTTTTTTGAGCTGTAAAGGGAACATTAATATTATTTATTTATAGGAAACACAAAGCTGAGAAAAAGCCAAAATAAATCTATGCTGGCGCTTTTTTAGGTACGTGAGCGGGTCAGTCAGAAGTGTGAAAATGTCTGCGATAAACAACAGTCTCTATTCGCTGTCATTCGCTTCATGAAATGACACAGCAACCAAAGGGAGAGGCCTACTGTACGCCTAGATCACACTGATATTGAACAGGTATCCTGTATCCTGTGTAGCTCCTAGATAGATAGATAGATAGATAGATAGATAGATAGATAGATAGATAGATAGATAGATAGAGATTATATATATATATATATATATATATATATCTCGCTTAATTGGGCGTAGGTAACTTTTCTAAAAAGAACTTTTTGTCATATTTGCTGAAACTTTCTCTATATCCTGACAGTAGTACATGAGACAGATCATCTGTGAAACAATCAGGTTCCTCTTCCTCCTAGTTGCTCCTAATCGGTATTTTGCAAGAATCCACCGGGCCTGAAGAAAACAACCAATCAGGAGCAGAGAAAGACACTTTGGGTTGGAAGCTTGAAGATAGTTGATTGTTGAGTCTTTTCCCAGGAATGAGACTCAACAATCACCCTTCTCGATGTAGTGAAAAAGTTTCAGCAAAAAGACATATTTTTATAAAAACAACCTAGTGCAGCTTTAAGATGTTTTATACATTTAAAGAATTTATATAAAACCAGACTAGGCCTCTAATTGAGAGCCATACCATGTAGCCATACCAGGCTAGTAAGGGCGACCTACGTCTAACTGGGGCCCTGCTTTTAATTGAAGTTTTAATGGTTTGAAAAAAGCAGTAAAAATGTCAATAAATACAAAGATACAGCGTTGCTACCAAATACAATGTTGTGTATCAGGGATTTTAGTTATGGTGTTATATTAGATTATACTTATATATTTATATGTAATGTCTAATTGATGGAAATACTTTTAAGAATGACCTCAATGGATTTGCTTACATAAACTTTGCCTTTGAGAGATATTTTTATATTTACTGATGTGTTAAAAAAGGCTAAGCTGCAGCTTTATTTGTTTGTGCTTTTACACCAACAGTTTAAATAGCTTTACACAATAAAGTAATGTAATGGAAAATGAATGTGTATATAAAGTGTTCACTGTTCACTGTTGATGAAACCACTTGCCCAAGGGTTTACAGCCATAGAAAAGGACGGCCATCCAGCTGCCTACTGCCAATAATGAGCAACACATCATTTCCACACCTTCCTACACATTTAGCCAGTATGTGACAAATGAACTTTATTTGTAGATAATGGACTGTGAATATATATACAGTATATATATTGTAAAGATTATTTATGGGCTTTATTGCCTTAATTAAACAATAACAGCTAAAGGGAGATTAGGAGAGAGAGAAGGGATCACACGCAGCAATGGGTCACAGGTTGGCATTGATCCCAGCTCGCTGCAGTATAGGCTCGGCCCTCGTATGTGGGGCGCCAGCGCTACATGGTAAAGCACCAAGTGAGGCACCAGGTGAGCCACCAGGGCGAATATTGACATATTTCTAAAGACGGGTAGCATACAGTCATGTTTTTGATCAGGGGTTCCCAAACCTTTCTATTGCTGAGGCCCCCCAAATAGCATTAGCTTATAGTGAGGGCCCCCCCTTTACCAGATGTCTGTACAAACTCCTTTACAATACTATATACAATAAGATTTCAGTTCTGTTATGTTCATTTAAATTATAATAATACACAATTTGAAGAACAGTACAAACAGTTTTAGAGGACACACTTCAATGGAGTGGACCTATTTGCCTGCTGAATGTTAGTGTTCCAGTTCATCCTAGAAGTGGTTGAGGTCTGGACTTCTTGGGAAGTTGACTGGCCTGCACAGTGGGGAACTGGGAACCCCCTTTCTTCATGGTGCTGGCTTTGTGTGTGTGTAGCAGCTCTATAGCGTACTGTTGAGACCATGTAAGCTACCGTGACTCTGTTCATGGTGGTACACAGGCACAGACGTAAGACTGCCTGTAAATGCCTAGGCTCTCTACAGCTGTGAATCTTATTTCTTTATTGTCATACTTTACAGACAAAATGTTTGTTGGGATTCATTTTATGAGAATATTTCTGTAATATTGGTTTGTATTATGCAGCCTTTCTGCTCTGGAACGGACATGACTCATTTCAAGTCTTAAGCAGGTCACAAGTCATTTTTTCTTAAGCAAGTAAAGTAAGGCAAGACAAGTCACCACGTGATGCCAACAGTGACTATACATACATTTATTATACATTTACTAACTGTTCTTGTAGTAGGATTGAGCAAGTATTCAGGTTAAATTTGATAATGTACTTTTCACAAATAGTATCATCTGTACTTAGAAATACTGCAATTTTTATAAAAAAATCCTGTTCTGTAAATATTTCTTACCCTTGTGATCAAAAACATTGCTGAGGCTGTAAATAGTGTAGTTATAATAGTTATAATAAATATAACTGATATGAAAACATCCAGGTAGCCACGCCCATTTCTACTGTAAGCCACACACACATCTGGTTTAAGCCACACCCATTTCAAGTACAGCTACAAATACAGACATTCAGCTGGTAGAACAAATCAGATAGCGGTAAATTTCAGTGTGCGGCGTGAACACAAGAGAGAACTGCATGTGTCGTTCGTGATCAATGATACAAGTTTTAATGTTTTTGCAGCTAACAGTGAAGCAGTAACAGGACAACAGTAAAACATCCCCCTCATCGCGTTCGGTGTCAATCATCCGGACTCTTAAGAGAAACAGGGCTGTTGAAGAGATCACAGCTTTATTGAACATCTTTGTCCACATTTCCCAGCATGCCCTCACACCCTTTGACCCTCCCTCCCCCTCCAGCACTGACACTATATAGTAATTCCCTTTCAGATATCAGTAGATCACAACTATGACCAGTAGGTATTGTCGAGTCGGACCTTACATTCCACCAGTCGAGCGGGTTTCTCAGGGTTACTGTTAATGGAAAAACACCCTTTTTTTTTTTTTTTTTATCATGGCAAGATATTGAAAGTTCAGCTGCAGTGTGGGCAGAAGATACTTCACGTCAGAATCAGTGAAAAATAGCCTTTTCTTGAATTTTTATGCAGATTTTTATACAGAAATTGATTGCCAGTGGCTCCAATATGGTAGTCCTAATAGACCAGGATGCAATTCAACAGGTGACCTATGAGAGAGAACAAAATAAATCCATGATGATATCTAACAGTGGAGGAGTATTTGAGAGTACATTGTTCCATTAAATGTTTGCAATTACGAAGATATGTGCCCTGACTCAGACGTTTTCTGCAATTTGACATGTGTATAGATCTAGGACTATAACATTCATTTCCATGTGTCCGCCCTGGAAAAATGTTGTCCGTCTCCCAGTGGAAAGGTGTGTGTTTCAGGAGGGAGGGGGCGCCTGTTGAAGCCGAAGCACCAAGAGTGTAGCTGAGCGTCCTTTTAAGGGGGCTAAGGCTGGACCTCCTCAGCTAGAGCCACTCGCATCACTGCTAGAGAGGGAGACGTCCGACAGCACTGAAGCGACAGCAAGGCAAAGCTCGTTTTCTTCATTCTCTTGAAAAACATAAACAGTGGGGGTGCTTATCGAAGGCATTGGATTTTCAGTAACGTTGCAGATATTAATGCCTGATTTGGTTTTACAGCTGGACATTTTCCATCAGGGAGAGCAGTTACTTCTCTGCACAGCCACATGCTTGTCTCAGTTCTTTCGTGACCACACAGCTGCTATTTAAAGGGTCAGTTCACCCAAATTAGGAAAAAAAAACTTTCTCACTTACCTCTAATAGTAGTTAGCCATGCACATAGTTTTGTTTTTTTATGCAGAGATCTCTCACGTTTCTGCCTCCACCCTAGTGCACCCTTCCTAAGCCCCGGCTCTTTTAGCAACAAAAAAAAGCAACATATACAGTATACAGTCATATCTTAAGTTAGCTAATCTTAGCAAAACACTAGCTTGCATTTTTCTAACACTAACTTAAGATGTGACTGTGTTGTTTTTATCTTTTAACCATCTTCAAAATGTGGTTGACTTTTCCAACATAGATTAGCCTAGCACATAGCATAAGGTAAAGGAAGGGAAAAGGTTGACTGAGGTTCAGACCGAGGCTGGCTCAACTGTTATTGGAGCACTGAGCAAAAAGGGGCGGGACTTAGGAAGGGTCATTTAGAACTATTCTGGTAATTGATTAATTGTCTCAGTCATTACGCAAGCTAAAATGTCAATTATCTGCCGGTTCTGGCTTCTTAAATGTAAATGTAATGTAATGTAATTTTCCTCTCTGTACATGAAGTCTTTGGGTTTTGGACTGTTGGTTGGATAAGACGTCACTTTGGGCTCTGGGAAATTGTTATCTGCATTTTTCAAATGTTTTGGCATTTTATAGAAAAAACAATTAATCGGGAAAATAATCACAGATGATACAGTGAAAGGGAATGGAATCTAATGTCTAGTATACTAGAACGTAAAAAAAAAGAGCTCCAATTCAACCAAAACTATCTGCAAGGCTAGATACCATGTGGGCATTGGTGCCCAACCTGTGGGTCTTGATTACCAGGGTAGGAAATAAATAAAAAACACATATCTACTACACAAAATGATGTTTATCTCTTTAAATACTGTACGGTTTTACCTCTTCAGGCCTCAAAAAACTCTTCAATTCAAACAGTCTGAGAACATACAATCTGATAAATCAACTGGGCCAATATTGGCTTATTAGAGATGTATGTGTGTCTATGTTGGCTGAAAAATCACAAGAAATGTCAGCAGAAAAATGCCAAAGATGTTTCCTTAGCTTTCCATACGAGGCCATCTAAACAGTGTTGCTATTACATAGATAGTCCAGCAGAGGGTGCTAGATTTCCACACTGTAGAGAGGTTAAGCTATGGACATATCTTGTCTGATATTGGTAAACTCCCAAATGTCTATGCTGGTATCAGTCTATCATCCATTATTGGTTGCAAAAACAAATTCAATATTTTTTATTTTTTGTAATCAAAGTGATCTGATCCTTTAAAAGCTGAGCTGGTTAAGATTTGGCTAGAGGTCATTTTTACTGACATGAAGTGATCATCATGGCAATTTAAGAAAAAGACATGTCACTGGTTACTTTCAGAGTTATTTTCCCCATTCATTATGATTAAAGAACCTCGCAAGCATGAGAGTTGACCTCTATAGTGGAGCAGTTGGTGGGATTCTGGACAGAAACAGCCAGTAGGATGGAAAAACAAAAACTGCTTGAACTTTGCTTCAATGGGCTCTGACTTGACAGGATGGAGTGGAGAGGAAAGGCCAGATGCACAGGTAAACAGGCGGGCAACACATGCACACACACTCGCACAAATATACAATATTGGTCCCCATTGTAGTGCCCTTAAGGGTATAATAGTTTATTTAGCACTTAGAAGTATGGGTCCGTCTACAGACAGATAACTGCAAGCTGGTGTAAGGCTGGTAATCATCAGTGGAGCACTTGGGCACCCAGAGTTCTATCTGTGTATACCAACACACACACATACACACACATACATACAAACAGACACACAGACACACACACAGACACACACACAGACACGAAGCCGCACCTTAAGATGAACTACTAAAGGGTGGCTTATGAGCCTCTCTGTACATGTAGACCTTCCTCGTCTCACTCCGACCCATGTCCTTGGTTTAGAAGTAATAGTGTTGAACAGTTTTAGAATTCATGGCTCACTCAGTAAGAAAAGCATAAACAAAGGGCTACATAAACATACACGTTTGCATATAAATTATTGGCATTTTAATTATTCTAGGTCAGTACTAAGCTGGAAAAGGAGATAAAATAAATTGAAAACAAGCCCTGTGAAGCTTGTTCTGTGTATAACAATATACCCACTGGTTCAACACATTCAACCACTGTAATCTCTCTCCACCAAGCAGTTCAAAGTTTTCTTAGGGTCCACTTTCATTTCTTTGCAAAGAAAAAAACAAACAAGAAGCCTTCAACTGAAACTTAAGTGTACAATCTGCAGTAATATTTTACTGTACAAGTGTCAAAAATATCTGACATTTTCCTTCTCTGTTCCTCCAGGTGATGACGTTGATGGATGTAGTTAGAAACACGGATTTTCACAGATGTCCAGATACCGTCATGTACATAGCCCTGGAACATGGTTTTGATCCGCGATGAGTCTCATGGCGTTCAGAGCTACACTGGTTCGAATACAAAAGCAAAAAATGTCCTCCGATTCCAAACTGAAAAGAAAAAGGCGAGCGAGACAAGAGAAGAGGAGAGGTCGTTTGTCATCCTTACAGGACGTTTGAGGTCGTTGTTTTTTTTCTTTCAAAAGGTCCCCCCTTCAGTTGTGTGTCCTCTTTCTCTTGGAGAAATGCAACAGTCTGCTGTGTGGGGTGAAGATGCGTCCAGTCTGGAGTTGCATCTTGGTGGTTCGTGTGGGTGTCGATGAGGTTTGATAACGGTGTCTTCTCTACTTTTTTTATTCCACGACTAAATGTGTGTGTATGTCTGTGTGTGTACTGGCGGCTGCAGTGACAATGAAGCCAGCTGACTTGCCAGTGATGCTTGAATTTACTGTGTATTACCAATTAACTGTGTGCAACTGAAGCATCACATTTGGGCTTTATGTGTCCTCACCAGGCTGAAGCCCATGTGTCTGTTTTCCCCTCTTCCCTCATAAAATCAGCCAAGACAGGGGCGGGTGGGGCCCAGACTCTGAGCCAATAGGAAAGCTTGTACCACTTCCTGGGTCTGCTGGGGCGTAGTGTTGACATCCTCCAGGGCATCTGCCACGGCAAACTGCCGGTCCCTCAGCCGGTTCCAGTTGGACAGTACGTTGTGGTATTCAAACACCTTCTCGTAGTTTCCCACGGAGTTGTAGAGTTTGATCAGGCCTCGGTAGTCGTATTCCAGCCCGCTGTAACCCTCTCCAAACAGCTTCTTACCTGTGAGGACACAACAAACATCACATACCATGTTTATAAGCATTCTAGAACTGCAACAATTAGTCACTTTATCAATTAGTCCAGTGGTTCTCAAACTTTTTCTTTCAAGCCACCCTCAGAGGCAGAAAAAAGAAAAGTTGATGCCAGTCTAGGGCTGTTTGAACTACACACTGTACTACAGTTGGTTCAAATATTTTTTTTTCCCATGACATTATACACAGAGTGACAGCATGCAGGCTGTACATTTTATGAACTGAGTCTCAAAATGTCCAACCCCTGCAGGTTGGAATTGAACCCAGGCCACTGTGGTAAGGACTCAGCCTACTTGGGGCACGCGCTCTACCAGGTAAGCCACTGTGCACCCCACTGTGTGGAAATCTGATGTTTTCATATCACAGATGAAGAAGACAGGTGTTAAAACACTCATGTAGCTGTGCTTCCACTGCAACAACTGCTTATAAAGGAGTTTAGCGTGATGAGATTAAAGCCACACATACTGACATGAACTGTTTCCAAATGTGTAATGTGACCTTGTCTATGTGGTTGTTTTACTAACTGCTTGTCTGTTTAATGATTATGTATCTCCTTTCCACCCCAGAGAACAATACAGATATATTCTATTCTCTGCTACAAAGTTTCCCTTTAAGTCAAATTCTAAGCAAACCAACACATATGAAAATGCTGCTTTATCTTGTCTTAGATTATAGGTCATTTATATGTTTTGGGTTTTGAATATCAACTTGGGCTCAGGACAATAGTTTTGGACATTGTTTCTACTTTTCTAATGTTTAAATGGCCAAGCAAATAAAATAAGTTTATTGGCTGATAATCAATAATGAAAATAACCATTTGATACAGCCCTAAATCAACCATATTAATTATAAGCTATTAGGCTGCTAATGGCCAATGTAATGCACCACCATGGGCTATTAAGCCCAGACAGGCATATCAAATCAGTCCGACTCAGCTGTGGCTCAGAAGTTGGTTCATTTTGGGAGCAGCACTTTGGGGAGCAGACAAGAAAAACATTTTCTCTGTATTACAGGAGTGCCTGTTTTACAAAGCACTATCAAAGTGCTACCCAGCTACGTTTAGGCTTAACCCGGTCTTTCTGCTATCTAGAAGCAGGCTTACTTTTAACAAGGGTAAATCACCATGGTAACCTATGCTGAATGGCAGGTTCAGTTTGTAGGATCAGACTGAAACATGTAACTAGCCCACTTGTTCAGCAGCTCACTGGAAAAACAGTTATCATCAAGTGCCAACCAAGATAAAATGACAGCCAGCATGTGTGACCCATCCATCCGTTCCCCACGTCTGACCTATAGCAATGGAGCGCAGGTAGAGCCTCTCTGCGTCTTCATACTGGTTCATGTCGTAGTTGTAGAGGGAGGCCAGGTGACCCACAGACAGAGCCACCTCGTAGTCCTCGTGGCCTAGAAGCTGCTCCTTGATCTGGATGGCTTTGATGTGCATCTCCTCTGCTTCCTGGTTACATGGACACCCATAAAACCAGACACAAACACACAAAGATAGTTTCATGTTACATTAATACTAATAATCTCTAATAATACTAATAATTAGTCTGTCTCTAATAATCATAGGAGACAGACAGACAGACATATCCATCCACCTTGAACTTCCTCATGGACTGGTAGAGCCGTCCTAGGTTGCCGTAGTGTTTGGCCGTCTGGACGTTGAACTCCCCGAAGGCCTTCTTGGCCAGCTGCAATGAGGAGAGGTGGAGGTCGTGAGCCTCCTGCAGAAGGCGCTCTTCTGTCTCCTTGTTGTGGCAGTCGATGGCGATTTCCTCCAGAATCAGGGCTGTATGGTTGATGAAGTACATGTTAGACTTCATGTCACAGCACCATGTCATTTTTTGGTATTAAATGTGAAATTTAACAGGAGCTTAAAAGTCACAACCAGGCAGTCTGTAGGCTACTGACTGATTCTTGCTGACTCGCTAAAAAGGACTCATCACTACAACAACCCTAGGTGGAAATTACTCAACACACACCAAATCAAGAAAATCAATTTGAAAAATGAGGAATTAGGTGAATTTAAACTTTGATTTAGTGTTGATTCTGGCGACCCCTGTGGACAAAAGTGGTAGTGCTTCTACCACCTCCTTAATTGATTTCAAGGGAAAACTAACTGAATCCAACCCAGTGGCAGACCTTGAGAAAAACTGTATAGAAATATCCAATCTTCTCTCTGATGGTCTTTAATCATGTAGGTCATACAGAGGCATCGGTATTAAATTGAGACTGTTTCATAACCAGTTAAAAACTCCTTGTAGTGCTGAAAAATGTTAACGTATCGCCAAACCCTATTAGCCACATCTTTTTTTGCCCAAGACCATACAGTTAAAAATATGTGCCCTTCATATATAAATATAAAACACAAAGATAATGGAATTTGTTTTAAGACAGAGTGCCTGCCTGATATTCCCCACTCTACCCTCCACACAGTGGGCAGAAGCCCAGCACCTCCAGGAAACTTGCATTACCTTTGACTCTCTTGGAGGAGGCCAGCAGCAGATGGTCCTCAGGCAGAATGTGAGTTATGATGTCTATGGCACGTTCTGCATGGAATCTGAGGGACAAACACACAGCAGCTGACCCAAACATGTCATGCAACTCACACTTGGCTAGAAACTGTACTCTATCAGGATAAACACTTCCAAGAAAGTCAAGTTGTTTTGAAGCTCAGATCAGAGTTAGAGAGGTCAGAGGGAGCATTACTCAATTTTGAATCAGGTCCTTTGTATACGGGAAGGAGTGTCACTGGATCAGTTAAAATCCCAAAAACATTTTCCACTCAGCTCTTTGCCAGCATCTATCACTATGCCTGACATTACCAATGCTTTATAATGCATGAAATGAAATGGCATACCCAAAGCCTGCAGCCACACAACATAAATACCAGTACGATGCAGAACAGAAGAGACCATCACAGTAGGAGTCATGGTCTAGCTCATGTCTAATGCAATTAGCTTGCTGGTCTAGCAATAGTACTGAGGTTGTAAGATTCATTGTACTCACAGAGCGTTGTCGAATTTCCCAGAGCTGTACTGGTGCACGTATGAGGAGTAGGCCAGGTCTTCATGGGCTGTGGCGACGTGGATGTTCTTCCCCCCGAACACAGACTGTCGGATGTCCAGTGCTGTCTGGAATTTGTACAGACACAAAGGACTTTTAATTAAACATACACAACATGCCACAATGGTTATTAATGAAAATGAGGACACAGAAAACATATACTGTATCCAATCACTCTACTTACCTGGTAAATAGCAACTGATTGGCATATGTTGTCTACATTTAATAAGTAAAATCCATAATCTAGCAGCGTGTCGGAGTACTTTGGATGCTTGTGTCCAAAATGTTCTCTGTAAGACACAAAACATTGAATCGGAATTCATGACAACAAAAGGAATAAGAATAACGTTGAGGCCTTATAAGACACAGCAGGTTACCTTGCTAGAAACACTGCGTGTTTGATCAGCTGCTCTGCTTTTCTGAACTCTCTTTTCACCACGCAGGCCTGCAGTGGAAAGACAAAGCCAAACATCACACAATCATATGTGCTCAAGGGATCTCCTTATTAGGCACAACAGATTGCTGTTCTCTAGATACATTCTGCAATTTCCCAATAATAACTCAATAATAGAAATGAACATCGCTAACCTTGGAGGCTTGCCGGAGGACATCAACCACTACTTTGACAGGCAGCCCTGGAGTAATTTCCTTCATAGCCTCTATACACCACTTGTATGCCTGGAAAAAAAAAAAAAAATCAGGGAAACATATGGGTTCCAAAATGTTCTCAATTTCTTAACAACCGTGCAATGGTGTAAAACAGACATAGTGATCTTTATTACTATTCTACAATTCTTTATTGTCTATAATATGTACAGGTCTCAACAATAAGGATTGCCCACTTTGCCAGGGAAAGTTAAATGCCACTTCGGGCTGGTAATGCTAGCAACTCTCTTGGCCGACCAAAGGTGAAAAAGAATGATGCTGCATTCACATGGACTCAGGCAAACGGTAGACAGCAAACCGGTTGTCATGTTAGATGATGAGAGCAGGATGATAAACGTAGGTGAGGCCAACAGACATCACCATAGTAACATATTGTCCTGAGTGTTGTGTTTTGTCGTCCTGTCGTTGGATGGTTTGTTTGTTTTTCCCGTGCTGTGAGGAAGGTGCTGTCTGTCTACCATCTGCCTGATTCCACGTGAATGCAGCCTGAAACACATCTGGTTTTTTTCTGGAGCCGATGATGGAAGTAGCTAATGAACCTTCTTCCGTCTCATCTCTGTTGAGAGCTGTACATGTGCAGTACCGATAGGGAACTTCATAAAGACACATTTTAAGAGCTGAAGCACAAGCAAGCATTTCTGTGGAGAGGATGTGGGTGAAACTCCAACTATGTATTGCACAATTTGCTGCAAGTCTGGGAGCAAGGCAGATAAAATTGGGTTGTTTCTAAAAGGCACGTCAAATTTCAGAAATATGTATATCTGTATATAAGGAATATAAAATATAATATTGTCTCAGTCACTGGTGGTCAGACACACGTACCTCATCATAGTGGCTTTTGGCGAAGAGCAAGGCACAAAGCTCGCCGTATAGCGCTGCCTTGTTGGCCTGATGGCCATGTTTGGCTAGTTTGTCCATGTAAGACTGAGCAAGCTTGAAGGTCTCCTCCCCCAGGTGGTACTTACAGTTGCCATTGCGGACATGAAGCAGCCTGGGGAGGAAAGAGAGGACAACTTAATAATCTCTGGTGTGTCTGTCCAGTTTATTTACTGGGTGTAGATAGAAATACAGAACAAATGAGGATCCTTTCTGATTCCGTCATTATTTATTGTCATGTTATAATACAGTACAGTGTCATATTTACAGTGCTATAAAAAAAAACAAGGTAGCAAAGCAGCAGTGACACAAACAGTCAAACAGTTTTTTACAAACAAAATGATGGAATTCAATTAAAGGTTCATTCATCAACTTATTTGTTCCTGATATTTTTTTTAGTGTTGGGCACGTTTGTTGAATAGTTGACAAAAATAGTTTATTATCGAAACTGCCCTTACTTAATTTTCTGTCTGCGTTAAATGCCATTTTGACACTTACAGTATTAAAATTTCCAGAGTGGCAAACTGTGCTGGCAAAATGCACTTTCACATAAAACCATTATTTGGAAGTGGGAGGGAAACTGTCTGCTGTGACAATTTATTGATCTTCATTAGATACCCTGTATGTAGAATTTGAAGCATAGATCTTGTGGACTGGATAAACAAAAAAGGGTGGTAAAGACACAGAGAGAACTGGAACAGATGCCTCTGTGTGTGCTTGTGGCTACAGTTTAGTATGAGCATGGCAGGTCAGACTAACCTGGTAAAATCCTTCCATTTACTGCAGCCTTAATAATGAAGAACCATATCAGCTCTAATTTATGTCTTTAATCAAAGTGGTCCTGATCTAATGCAACTACAACTCTGATAAGTAAAAATTATCCAGCCCGTTAAAATTTACCCAAATAAGTTAGCTTGCCAATGTCAAATTTAAATATAGTTGTTATTCTATTATTGCCAATTGTCAATTCTAGCCACAAGTGTCAAATGCTGTGTGATGCAGCCATTTTGTCAAGTTGGGCCACCAAAATGTGATCCATGTCTGTGCCACGAAAAGAGTCACAGTAGAGTAGGATCTACAGTTACACTTGTTGAAGAGATTCGGTCGATTGGAAAAGTAAACCAATATATACATTCTACACAAGGGGTCTTTCAAGGGAGTTTTTGCTAACCATATACTGAATGTCCACAGGTTTTCAGACTGACCTGACACAGCATTCCACAGCGCGGAAGCAGTGGAGGACCTCACTGTGGAGCGTGCACAGCTGCAGGCACGACAGAAACACTTTCTCTGCATCTCCATACCAGCCCGCATCAGACAAGAAGCCACCTGCAATCAAAAGACATCAGATTACTCCAACTGTCTCCAAATCACAGGGGGGTAAATTCAGCATCAACTGTAGTAACTGGTGGTTAAAGTGAGTGTTTTAATAAAAAAATAACAACGTGAAACTCTGTCTGGGAGCTGCACCTGGTCACTGGGACAAAAGTATCGGGATGGTTTCAACACGGACCTTTTCTCTTGTAACATAGGGAGTCATGCAGTGTTGCATTGGCTAACTGTACTAGATGCTGCCACTAGCTAATTAGCGGCCCTATGAACTGACTGTATCCGGACTGGGAGCTCGAAGGATAGGGGGAGTTTAAATACTACTAGCGTAGGAATCGTGAGGACCAGGTGGGGAATACTGCCAAGGAGCAGGGCCACAATGAGCAACAGAACCAGAGCAGCAATACAAAATATACCACTGGATCAACAATGACTGCCATGGCCTGCTGATGACGTCACTTTTGACAAGCAAACAGCCCCCGCGCTGGGGACACTGTCGGGCATAAACAAAGCTTCACAGCAGGGTCAGACAGTCGTTACGTCCGCAGCAGCACAGTGACCATAACTGTATACTAGGTTTCAACCTAGTCTTGTTCCTATCAGCTGACGCTATGATAACATCAGTGCAAGGAATGAACAGCCTCCACTGATTGACCCACTGAATCTCTGTCCCTTCCCCACCATTTACCCAGCACAAAGCCGAACTGGATGGCCTTCTCTTTGACATGGGCGTCAGACTCTGCGATGTAGGAGCAGCGACGGCTGAAGGAGTTTGCCAGAACTGAGGCCACTTTCACACCGTGGTCCATTAGTGCCTGAAAGCAATGGTGCAAGAGGTGTCTGCAGAGGAGAGGACAAAGAAATGAACCATGTCAGTGGAAGGTAGAACTATTAGGTAATGATTACTTGTTACATTTAAGCCTCGACTAAAACAATATCACAAACATCTGGCTAATCTGTCAATAACAATGCTGATGACTACTGCTATTGTATTCTCATTACGCCTATCAATGCAGGTTGAAAGCAGCAACATACACCACACAGATAACATTATAGAAAGAACCTCAATAATGTAGCTTAACCTAAAGGGTACTTTAACCAAGCTCTTTATATCAGAGCTGCATTGGTCTTCTTTCACAAAGTAGTACTCAGATTTCTAACTTTTGAAGTTTAAGTGGCAGCAGAGTAAATGGTAAATGGCCCTGTACTTGTGTAGCGCCTTTCTAGTCTTCCGAAAAAGCGCTTTTACACTACGTGCCACATTCACCCTTTCACACACATTCACACAGCGATGGCAAAGCTCATCGAACAGAAACTAAGCTCATTCACACACTGTGCACAGCATTGGGACAATTTGGGGTTTCAGTATCTTGCTCCAAGCGAACTTCGACACGGCTGGCAGGAGGAGCCGGGGATTAAACCAACAACCTTCCAATTAGTGGACGACCCGCTCTGCCTCTGAGCCATAGCCGCCCCAGAGTGTGTGATATGGAACTTGCAATGACTATGTTAAACTGATATAACTGAAAAGGACCCAACAGGTCCCAGCAGTAGGAGAAGGAATACAAAGCAAACACTTAATAGTCTCATTCAGAAAAAGTCGAAACAGTAAATGATTGATACACTGGGCCAAATTAAACACAATTAGAACTCAGACGTGACCAAAAGTCCAGTTCTGCACAACAACTTCAATGTCTATACAATGGTTTTTCTGCCTGATTCTGCCAATTATTTTCATTATGGAATAATCTGCAGATTATTTTCTTGAATTTGTTTAGCTATAAAATGTCAGAAAAGGGCAAAATGCCCATTAGAATTTCTCACAGTCCGAAGTCTTCAATACTGGCCAAAAAAAGTACCATATGAAGGAAAATTGGTATTGGGTCCATTTTGTAGTTGTTAGAGCATGATCAATAGAAATGTATCCCACAAACATACCTACAATTGAGACTGAGAAATGCTATACAAGTAACGTTCATTAATCCAATCAAATCATATTAAAGACATTAAGGCCTAACAGTCTGATTATGGGATTTTAGAGTTTTTAGGACCCTGCAGACACCCTCTTTGTTGATCAACTGACTGATTGATGGATGCAACTCTACAATATACTACTATAAGAACTGCTTCATTAGATATGTTTGGTGAGGTTGGTTCAGTTTCAGTAAGGTCCATACATGAGGCTAAAAACTGTATCCACTATTCCATGAATGCAGTTTTCAGCACATACAGCATGAACTGCTCTGATAAGCATCTGTTGAAGGGGCCATGGTCTCCAGAACCATTCTGTAACACAACTGATGCTTTCAGTGTGGATGGTGTGAGGTTTCAGGCACAGCTTAGTCCCATTATGTTCTTACCTTTTGTCTGAAGCACGCAGTACTTTAGCAAACACCTCCAGCTCACAGAACTCTCCCCCCAGCTGGCAGAGCCGGCCCTGCTGGTAAAGCTGAAAGACACACAGAGGTGGAAGGATAAGGTGAGCTTGGAGACACACTCACAATAATACAGATGTCATCTCATCCATTAGGAGCGCAGTGTCGAGTCTATAGGTAATACCTGATCTAAGATGCAGGTGGGGAGAGTACGGCTCAGCAGAAGGGTACAGAATGTTCCGTCTTCAAATGGACTTTGTCCTATTTTTAATCCTAGTTTCTATTGAGGGTGTATATGCTTTTAAAAATGCTGCCTGTTGTTCAGAAGTTGAAACAGAAAAACATTTGCTGATGTCTAGCCTGTCATCAAAATGCACTGAGCTGGAAGTTGTTATATTCAGTGGCTGTCCATGGTGGGGTCTGTGGGGGACACTGCCAGTCTCAGCTGTGTCTCTTCAATTGCAGTTATTGGGTGAAACATTGCTTAATGTCCAAGTGATGGGAGATTATGTGAGAAATGGTCCAAGTCACACTGGCTCACAAGAAGCTAATTTATCAAGACAGCTGTGTTACGATTATCTGCCTGTGAGAGTTGGTGGCACTGCACGAAAACACATTTTTCTAGTGCTGAAATAACAACTCAATGAACTGAAAGGTTTTGAGGATAACTGACTACGTGTCATTGTTTTATTATCATTATTTGAAGTGTGTACTCCATATCATGTTTTTTATTAACATGGCTCTATGCAATGCCAGCTGGTCCTCCACTTTGGTCCAGAATGAAATATCTCAACAAGTATCAGATGATTTGCCATGATCCTTTGTACAGACATTGATGAGGCCCTGGTGTCGAAGCCTGCTGAAACTTTTCTCTAGTGCCACTATGAGGTGACATTTGTGGTTCGGAGTGGAATATATTGGCAATTGTTGGATATATTGCCAGGAAATGTCCTGCCTCCCTCAGGATGATTTGTAGTTTAAACATATAACTGAGGCTAGTAGCAGGCTGACGTTTTAATTTGTTCCATACTTTGGTTATTACCAAATATCTGCAAAAGTAATGACATTCCCATCAGTCCCAGCTGTATTTTGTGTTAAGTGCAAATAAGCAAACATTAGCATGCTAACATGTTAAACAGAGATGAACATGGTAAACATTTGCATGTTAGTCATCAACAGCATGTTAGCATTGAGCGTAAAGCACTGCAGTCCTTGTCACTACTGCTGACCCAGAGACATTACTACTTTTGTGACACATGGTGTCACCAACTGTTTCATTGAAGCTGCCAACGATGAGCATAACAGGGAGGGCATACCAGTTGCTAGTACTATTTTTTGTTGTTGCCACGTCTAATAATAATAATAATATAGTTTATAAGTGCTTTTCTCACACTACCTCCTATTCTACAATTTCTAGACACTTTACATAAAAAGAGAAACAGCATCAAACAAACATCAAATAGTAAGAAACTAAAAACCACCATCAGACTAAGCTAAACATTAAAAGCAATTAAAAGGTGATCTCCTCTGTCCGAGATTTGAACGTTGGAAGGGTCGGTACAGTCACGGATGGGTTTGGGGAGAGAGTTCTCAGAGGGAGGGGGCAGCTACAGAGAAGGCTGTCGCCCCAGGTTCGGTGGCTTGGTCGGGGTGGTGGAGTCAGGAGTTTGCAGCAGATGAGCGGAGGCTCGGGATGGATGATGTGGCGTGGAGGCAGGTCAGTGAGGTAGCGAAGGGGCCTGGTTATGGAGGGCTTTGTGTGTGAGAGGAGGATTTGACCTGAATTTTAACGTTGAGGGACGGGAAGCCAGTGGAGGTTTCTGGAGGACGGGGGTGATGTGGTCCGGGTTGCGGGGACAGAACGAGCAGCAGAGTTCTGGATGTACTGGAGTTTATTGAAGGTTTTGGATGGTGTGCCGTAGAGGATGCTGTTACAGTAATGGATTCTGGAGGTGATGAAGGCGTGGATAAGGGTTTCTGCAGCACAGAAGGAGAGTGATGGGCGGAGTCGGGCTATGTTTTTAAGGTGAAAAAAGGCAGTTGTGGTGATTTGGTTTATGTGGCGTTCGAGGTTGCGACTGTGGGGGGATGGAGACAGGGTGGAGTTGTCAATCGTCTAATTAATAATAGTTCATTCTTCAGTTTGATCAGAAATGTTTCACATGCTACTATTGTCAAGTCCATGTCTTGTAACTTGCCATCAATAAAATGATGTTTCTCAAATTGATGATTCCAATTAAAGTTAATAAAAATGAGTTCTGCTGGAGAAGCTGGAAATTCAGAAGCCAGTGCTCACAGGTTTTATTAAATGTAGAGTTGATGATGGCCAATTATTATCATTCATGTTTTAACTTAATTCTACCAATTAATAACGTTCATTAAAGCCAGTACTGGCCAACAAATTCATATTGTTTGTAGATGATTTTACTTTGACAATCGAACCTGGTGTCATGGTCCTCCTGTTAACCGGGGTGGAATACGTCTCACTGTAGTTGGCTTCAGAAATCAGCTGTTCCTATTATGAATGGTATTTCTGTTGAGCATTATTGATGTTTAAGTTATGCATTTGTGCCCGTCTACCCCACTATTTTGAGAAAGACTAACAAATAGTACAAAATAAAAAGGGGTAGAAAGTAAGCAAGAGTGTAGGCGGCATTTTTTCTTGTAATGTAACACTCTGTTTGTGACATGTATGGTGCTACCGCTGAAGCTTCGATTCTTTCTGAACAGTGACAACCAGTGACTAACTATCTTGTGACAGCAGACTCACACATCTGGGTCAAATGTAGGTTAAACACACACTCTGTGGAGGTTTCATCAGCCACGTTTCCTGTATCAGCGAAGGTGGCTTATTCTACCTACCAGAACCTTTAGATATACAAGCTACCTCCAAGATGCCAGCTCATCACTGCATATATCCAAAAGACAGCAAAATAGCTTAACCAACATCTGCATTCACAAATCAGAACAGAACCAGAGGTTTCAGGGTAAAGAATACATTCAACAGTTTCCATTTATGACAACACTCAGAACACAAGCCCCAACATTTCAGTAAAAATGCCCACTGGTATGGAAGTGCTCAGTGCTCGAAATGAAAGATGGACAATAAATAGAGCACCTGGCTCGGACACAAACATACAGGGGTAATTCTGGGAAAGTAGAGAAATGTTTCATTACAAATGAAATGATTGCGTTCATGAGTCATGGAATAAATATCGTTTTGACTGTTCAAATTCAAAACATGTGAGGCATGATCTCTATGCTACATCACACGCGCCCTTACACACAAAATCTATTACAGAGGGAGACCTGTGTTGCCAACTTTTCTCGCTAGATTTAGCACTTTTTAGACTCTCTCGGTGAGTTTATTTCTAAAAAACTATGTAGAGACTTATTCAAACCACCAGGGAAAAGGTGAGAAATATATTCAAATATATTATTTTGTAATTCGTTCCCATTCGTTCTGCTCAGAGTATTTGCAGTCCACGGCTCTTCTGCCAACAGTGCTGGGGGCCCTCCCTCTCCTCTTGTGCCGTGGGGACCTTTCCTCTCACTCTGCCTCCGGATCTCTGGATCAGGATGTTCGGAAATCTTACATGTAAATAGTTTGTTTGAGCCCTGCAACGTTTGATTTTTTACACTCGGGTTCCCTGGAACTTAGTAATGAATCCAGGTTAACATCCAACTTCTCTTTCACCTTGTAAATAAGCATGGAGGGGAGTGTGAATGTGTTGATGCCCTCCAACTGTCTGAGAGGTGCATAATATATGATTTATAACTGTTGCCAGCCAAATCTAATGCTGGTGAATAGTACCGTCACAGACACTTGGATGTCATCTGGTTTACTGCAAGTTCTCAAAACCTGTCCCACAGTGAACCACATCCACAGCATCTCCATATCACAGACACTACCTCACTACCTCTCCATGACTGAATTCATGTCAACAAACTTGGAATGTAAAGTCACCGAGCTTACTACAGCCTAGAGAGTCACTGCATCGCATTTACCTATAAGGAAAGATATTTTTACACTTCTCATACACTCAGATCTTAAAATTGTACTCTTAACTCTTTATGCTTGTGGTGTTTTTAGACTATAGACAGCATTTTTGATTTGAATACATTAAATGTAACGCTTTCTAACTATATGCATGATATAGATTTTCAATATTTTCTCACACATCATAGCATTTAGGCCACCATGTCAGTAAAGAGATGTGTTGTGGCTGTTTAAGGAAGAATGTCCATCCAACCACAGCCGCCAGTGTACATCATAAATAAGCATGAATACAGTGAGAAGATCCTGGTGTATATGGCCATATATAGGCAGGTATAGTTATCCTGAGTTTGAAGGAACAAATGCCATATCTGAAAAGAGATAATATATATATTCTAATAATATAATGGCTCAAAAGCAGTGGCATTTAACTGAATGTTTCAACATACTGTTTTTTGTGTTTGCAGTCTGAAGCAAATTGACAGCTGACTGCTCGAAAATGACCGGATCTGTTGTAACAAGTCCGTCTGCCTGTAAAAGACAGGCTACTATTCATAAAGTAAGCCAAAACACAAAACTGACAACAACAACAATCCCTCAAAACACTGTTAGTTTACATGACAACACTGACACAATTCATTTACAGTCTCTGTCATGTAATCGATGCCGTTTATAGGTTCTTATTCAACAAAGGTTCATAATACAGAAGTAACTACTGGCTACCTTGAATTTTAAGACAATGTAAGACGGAGTAAGCCGACGGTTAGTTGCCTCGACCCGAAAAAAACAGCTTTTGGTCTTCAGGAGCGAGCGTAACGTTATCGTAATTGAGCTAACGTTAGCAGCAACGTTAGCAGCTGATTACACGAACTCGTACAGTCGAGAGGCTGTCAGATATACCCGAGCCTCTTGACCGGCAAATCTTACCTTATAATACACATCAAACTGTATGTTTTCCGGGAGCGAGCGTATGTCCCTTCTCGACCGGCTGTAGTTGTCCACCACCGCCGAGATAGCGGTGTTGTACAGTGTTTCTGGGATCCATTCGAGCTCCACCGCAGCCATGTTGTTTTCCCTCTCCAAAAAAAACCCCAGCAGCTACAGCCCTCCCCAACTCTGCCTACATTCGCTACCTTACTGCGACTAAAGCACTTCCTCCGCGAGTCCTCATATAACATTCACTGAAGAGCGAGGCTACAAATAATCGTTCTGCCGCTGAGTTACGGCCACAAGACTAAAACCGCTGTTTAATTTCCATTTTTCTCCTTCATCTCCAATTATTCGTCGACCCTACAGCAGTTCCGTGCCCCCGTCCCGACGCAAACATTCACGGGCGATGACGCAGTGACGTAATTGTGCAGTCGTTGCAACAAAAAACCCCAAAACCTTTTTTAAGTGATATTTTGTGATAGGTTTTACATGTACGAATCATGCAAATAATTTGTTACACTGCTTAGTTTATAATCCTTATTTTTACTAAAGATTTCTCCTTTTACATAATAATGCCATATACAGACCCTGTCCACCCAAAACCTGGTTAAAACATCCTCAGTTGGCAGATAAAACGTACATGTACATATAAAAAAAAACCACATAGTACGTTTTCCTTCGTGGTTTAACCTTACTGTATATTAATTTGAGTGTTGTCCAGATCTTTGGTTCCCCAAAACAAAGCAGTGTATGTGTATAAATGGTTAATATTCCTACATAGTTTTAGCTGATTTAGATGCAAAAATACTCTAAATTAACGCTGAGAATTAGTCATTGTGTTACAAATGACAAAATGTTTCACAGTCCAAATATGTACACTTTACAAGATCCAAGTAATTCAGTATGAAGGGGGTTCATTTGATACTGATACTGAATTGTACTGATGCCAATTTAATAAAAAGCCCCGTCTTAGGTTTGCATTCGCTCCCTTATTTTGTCCATGCATTAAAATAAATAAATAAAAAGCTTTAATGTAACATTATTCATATAAAACACAAGATGAAACATATATATTTTGACTTCTTATTATGCGATTATTGTTGTATTTTTTAATCCAGAAAATACAACGGAAAAATTTTAAGACACAATACAATACATTCTGGATTTGAAATAAAACAGTGTGAGATTAAAGTCTTGACTCGGCTTTAATTTAAGAGTGTTTGCATCCACATCAATTAAACTACACAGGAACCTACATAATAAATATACATTAAATAAATCAAAGTTATAATAAAAGGAATGCAGTCAATGAAGTCTACAATTTATACATCGCCTGACTCTCGGTATCTTCCATGGCGATGCTTTGTTAGGTCTTGCTTCTTTCTTGTTTCATGGAGGTTTTGCCTTTCACTGGCTCTAAAGGACTCAGGACTTGGTTGCCTTCAGCAGAGGTACACAGAAACATCATAAGACTGAAAAAAGCATTGAATCATTGGACAATGTTTTGTCTTTAAGTACGACATTGCCTTTAAACATACACCTAAAGTAAAGGAGTTTTTTTTTCATTCTTTCATTTTGTATCAAACAGTTTGAGACACATTCTGATAATTCAGCTTCAGCACGGCCTGCTGTACCTGCACTGGCTGTGCATGTTATATATCCAAAATCAACTATAAGCCCTTTGCTGAACTCTACAATTCCTACACTGTTCACCCAATATGGATGTGACCACCACAATTAAATTAAAGCTAGAAGTCACAGCTTTACTCTCATACTCATTATTTAAATTATATATTAAAAATCAATTTCAAAAGTGCAGGAGTACAGAGCTAAAACAACGAAAATATACTGCTGATTCAAATACTTTTATACATAAAAACTGTACACACATTTCTGCTACACATGACCCTAAATGTGTCAGCTTGCGATTGGGGTCCAACCGCTAGGGGGCAACAGCTGCATTGGCGCTACCACATCCACGTGCTTAGAAGAAGACAGAGCTTGACGCCAACACGTTCGAGCATGCCTACTACGCTCGAACATAAACAAAGGCAGGACGCTGCGCTGCAATTAACTCTACTTTCCTGTAATTTTATATGCTAACTGCCGAAAATTGGAGAGCGACTTATTTCTGGAGCCATGGAAAACGCATTATTGATGCGAGTGAGCGTTTTTACCGACCAAGGAGGCAGGAAATACATGGAAGATGTGACCGAGGTTATAGTAGAGCCCGAGCCGGGAGAGGACGAGCCGACGTCGGGAGAGCCGGAGGATAGCAGCAGGGGAGACTGCTCGGTCAGTTTGCTGCATGGGGACGCGCATCCAGACCGGACGGGTGAAATCGAGGAGTCCTCGCTTGTTTCAGATGCATTGTGCGAACCCGAGCGAACTGACGACCTAAATATATCAGTGGAAACATCCCTGCAGGGGGGTCAGAGCCCGCCGGGAGCTGAGACGAGCACCGCGACTCGTTCCCGCCGTTCCGTCGCGTTCTTCGCTGTGTTTGACGGGCACGGGGGTCGCGAGGCTGCGCAGTTTGCACGAGACTACCTCTGGGAGTTCGTGAAGAAGCAGCGGGGCTTCTGGTCCGACTGCGACCGGGAGGTCTGCGCCGCCATACGCAAAGGATTTGTAGCGTGCCACCATGCTATGTGGAAAAAGCTCCGTAAGTTTACCAACACCTTACTAAGTTATAACACAACGTTATCAGCTGTCAGTAGGGACGGGTGTACTCCATGTCTGCCTCTCCCTCTGTTTGAGTAGCACGAACAGCACATCAGCCTCCAAACTACACCACAGTCTGCGGGCTAACGTGAAATGTTTTGACTTAAGTTAATGAAAGCCGGATTTACCAGAATATTCTGTGGACCCAATGGAGTCTTTTGACGTTATATAGCGTTATAGTTATGTAAAATAGCAGATGGCTAAACTAAATGCATTTAATTTTTGCTATAGTTTTGCTATTTCAATACAGAATGATTAATGGGGCTAACATGTTTAACCACCACTGGCTAAAAATGTTAGCAGTAGCCACCGGGTTCAATTCAAACAAAGCCTGGCTGCCACAGCGGACACAGACAACCGGTTACCAATTCAGAAGAGTGTTCAGAAGTTATTTTCTGTGTTTTTAGGCCGATATTTTAGTACTTTCTGGTACTCAATCTATGTGTATTATCGTACATTTTGATATATTTCTATATTTTGTCATAACAAAGCCTATTGAACAGTGACGTAGCCGGTGTGCGCTACACAAACAGACGCCGGGTGTCTGCCTGGATATGCCTGGGCATGTTAGCTGTTTTCCAGCTGGTGTCTGCACACACTGTCTGTTCCGTAAAGCGCATGTCTGACTGTGATTGCATTGGAGAGACTCTCCTGGACAAACTGATCAACTGACCGCCAAGTTACAGTGATGGCGCCATGCTCAGCACATACATGTTAAATGTGTAGTTCAGTGTATTGTAACCTAGGCATGGGACGATATGAACATTTTATGTCACAATTATCTTTTCAATATAGTTGATGCACAATATTATCACGATAATCATTAAACATTGCTCTATACTTTTTATATGGCATTGACAATGGAATCACTTTACCTTACATTTGGTTAGGAGCACATATATGTATTGCATCACAGATAGGCAACTCATCTCCCCTGTTCTGTATTTTGGAATTATTTTCACAAATCTGGAATCACTTTTTTTTTTAATGGGGATACAATGGGCCAGCCAGGCAACATAGGACTGTATGCTGGCCAGCTAGGCAGCTTCTTCAGGTCAATCCATGTAAGGATATTCACAATTATCATGATGATGGAAATCCACCATGATACATTTGTCTGAGTGTTTTTATCTATACATCTATATATCATCCCATCCCTACTGTAACCAAGAAGGGAATATGCAGTTAGCAGTTTGTAAGCACTAAATGGTTATTGTAGCTAATTAAATATATTCATTTTCTCTCTTTCATCTTCTCAGCTGAATGGCCAAAGACACTTACAGGCCTTCCAAGCACATCGGGCACCACAGCCAGCGTAGTGGTCATCCGAGGAAACCGTATGTATGTTGCCCACGTTGGGGACTCTGCAGTGGTTCTTGGCGTCCAGGATGACCCATCAGTCCCATTCATCAGAGCTGTGGAAGTCACACAAGACCACAAACCCGAACTGCCCAGAGAGAGGGAGCGTATCGAAGGTCTGGGAGGGAGGTAAGGCTTAACCCACGAGGCACCCTGCCTCTGCATTTTGTTTAAGTATAATATTCAGGTTAATATTGTTCTCTGGTGTAGTGCTCTTATTACATCGCAACAGGTATTTTTGAAGCCTGGCCAGCACGCCATTGCCCAGAACACATCACCATAACTGTAAAAAAGGCCACAGGGACCGATTGAATACAAATGTTGTAACAACTTTCTCATTCTCACGACTCAGCACCCGCACTGTCCCCAATCTGTGACAAAGAAGTGATTGTAACCAAGAAGCGTCTCTTTTGCACAATAGTAGATCAAAATGTTATCAGCCTTAAGGGATAAAGTTCTTTATACTGTCTGTGGCATGTCTACTGATAAGATGTTGTGATTGACAACAACAAAGCCTTTATGCTTACATCGCAGGGTAAACTCCACAGCTTTAAGGGGGATGTATAGTTGTGCGTTTAAGGGGTTAAAGCATTTTCAATGGACCCTACACGCAACGTATGTCAAGATGTAATGCTGCATTTAATTTATTCATATTGTGGGGAATGTCAGTATAGCTCTCTATAATAGAACTAGTGAGTAGTGCTGCTTTAAATCATATTATGCCAAACATTAGGCCTAGGGCCATGAACATAAATTATAAATGGTATACATGGATATGTGATTCTCCCTATATGTATGGGAGGGAGGATATAAAGTTAATTTATCTCAACTCAATATGTCAGTATCCTTACATTATTGTATATTATTATTGTTGTTGTATATTATCATTATAATGTATAGTGATGCACATTTTGAAGTATTGGATTAAAAAAGGTCGATGAAAACAGATCTTCTTGGGTTTTGTTGCACTTGCAGTGACGTGGTGAGTGTGGTTGTCAGCTCTCCACTGCTGTTTTTCTCTCCCCGGAGCACGGACAGAACCCCGCCTGCGGTGAAACAGTGTGGAGTGGAGTGTGGCAGCTGGCGTAAAGATAATGATCAATTCGGGCTCAATATAGCAATACTTGTCTTTGAGATGGGATCAAGACATCCCTAATATTTTGACTTACCCCTCCAGTTTTCTGCATTAAGAAAATTAAGAAAAACATTAAAGTGTAACAAAGTTTTTTGTGTATTTGTAAAATGTCATAATACACACCATCAGAAATGTTGCAACAACCATGATTAACTTTAAAGCAGGATTCATTTACCTTAATTTAGACCCAGTTTTTAGCTTAACTAAAACAAACAAAGCAGAAAAACCAGATCTGAAACAATTTCAACAAAAATGGAATATTGGTAACATTGTAACCTTCATGTACTTAGTAAACTGGCTGCTGAGTGGAATCCTTGTTTTTGCAGCCCATCCATAATGTCTAAAAGTGGCTCTCTGAAAATTGTGGATACTTTGTTTGAAGTAATCAGCAGCGTCTCTCTCCCCTGGTCTGTTAACAGTGTGATCAAGAAATCTGGTGTGAACCGGGTGGTCTGGAAGAGGCCAAGGCTGAGTCACAACGGCCCCGTCCGGCGGAGCACTGTCATTGACCAGATACCGTTCTTGGCAGTAGCCCGGGCTCTTGGTAAGCAAAGCAACAATCATGGATCCCTTTAGCCAGTCCTCATGGAGCGAGTTTGTCCAGACCAGGGGTGCCTTCAGCTAAGTTTCTCTTCTCTGCGACAGGTGATCTGTGGAGCTATGACTTCTACAGCGGGGAGTTTGTGGTTTCCCCCGAGCCAGACACTAGTGTGGTGATCCTCGACCCCAGAAAACACCGCTACATCGTCCTGGGCAGCGACGGCCTGTGGAACATGGTGCCACCCCAGGAGGCTATCTCCATGTGTCAGAACAACGACGAGGCAATGGTGAGCGGAGCAAAGACTTGTTTCTGTAAAGGCTAGGTAACTCTTTAGCAGTTATCATTATATATGAGGTCTATCATAGATCAAGAGGCCAGTAATATCCACCTTCTGTCAGACCCTGTCTGTGCAATAATGGCCTTTCATGCTGCAGGCACCATGTGGGGTATCAAGTGCCCGTCAGCTGGTCAGCCATGCTCTGCTACGGTGGCGCCAGCGGATGTTACGCGCTGACAACACCAGCGCCATCGTAATCGCCCTGCAGGAGCCTGGCACCCCCCAGGACACCCTGCACCACGAGGAGGTGCTGCTCGACTTAGCCAAGGTGTCCCAGTGTCCTCCCACCTCCATATCCCGCGCTGACACTCCTCTCCTACAGGTAATGTAACAAAATCAGAAGGTTCAGGTTTCAGTTAGTTTCAACAGAAAGTTTAGAAAGTGTTTTATATTTCCCGTATACTTGATGCCTGAATCAGGTTCATGACTGAAGCATTGTATTTTTAATACACTTATGTAGAACTGCAGCCAATAACCCTAACCTGTTTTGAGTAATTCTTTGAGGAAAAAACATCCAAATTCTCAGATTCCAGCTTCTCAAATGTGAATATTTTCTGGTTTCTTTAGTCCTCTATGACAGTAAACTGAATAAAACAAGACATTTGAGGACATCACCTTGGGAAAGTGTGGTCGACAGCTGGACTTCAACACTTTCTTTTACATGGTTTAATTTTACTACGTAACATTTAGACAGAGATCTCGTACATAGGTATCACTTCACTACAGTCTTTAGAAGCCTTATTTGACCAGATTATATAAGTCAACTGTAACAAAGGAGAGAGCCAATAGTTGAGTATCTAAAAATTCAGATCACTAACACACTGGAAATGAGTGCTGAAGTTTGTCCTGACTTATTTTTTTTTAACCTGTTCTCCTGCAGCGCTCTCCAGAGGAAGACTCTCCCTCCGCCGTGTGTGAGCTCCTCCCTGCTTTGGAGCGGCGGGACGGACTGTCAGGAAGCAACAGCCTGTACCACATGAATCTGTCTGACCCGTTCGCTCTGGCTCCGCTGTGTCCACACAGTAGTGTTGAGCTGGCCGGTCAGTCCGAGCCCACTGACAGGACAGTCGGCTGCAGGACACCCAACAGCAAAAGAACTATTGACAGCTCATCGGCGTCGCAAGCGGGCCCGTCGGCCAAGAAAGCCCGGCGCAGGACTGCCGACAGGCCGCCGCTAGTCCAGCACAATGCAGAGAAGAAACAGAAGGAGTCCAGTAACGTCTCCCCCATTCTCCAGCAGCACAACAAGACCACAGTGTGTGTGTGCTGAAACACACACACTGACACATCAACCTGCTGCCTCCCACTGTCAGCATCGTCTCCAGTGGCGTTTCTTTTCCTTTTGTTTGCTATTCTCCTGCACATTCTCACAGAGGTTGTGGAAAGACCTGCACCAGTACAATACTTGTTTTTGTGAAGACATCTTGTGTCTTTGTCTCAAACTTCCTCCCTGAAATGCAGATTCTTGTCTTCTTCAGAATCAAATGTTTGATTCATGTCTTACTTCAATTCTTTCTGCTAACAGTTGTAAGAAATAAGTATAGCTAATGATGCTGGTGTAAATATTATCCATTTTATAGGTGAACATTGAAAAGTAAGTCAAACTGTTCATTTAAAACAAATATATATTTTTTATACATTCTTTAATGAAACTTTAGATGAGCTCCACCACAGCCTCCATCTCCACCTCACTCTCCTCACATAACATTGTGTGTACACCCTGTGTTTAAACATATTTATGTATTTTTATTCTTATAACTTTATCACTGGAGACTTGTCTTGAATATAAACTGAAGGTGCTGCTACAGTCACAAACTATAAGCTACTACATTGTGTATATTGGTATATAAATATATGTAATAAGTGTTGGTAGCATTCGTCTTTGTTTGACAGCATGTATTTTGCCATAACACATCTGCCCCGGTGAGGTTTCAAGTGAAGGTATTATTAAGTTTTAATCGCAGACTACATCCTAAGGGACAGGTCCACTCTCTTAATCATCCTACATTGTTGTAATTTGTCACAAGAAACTACATTTTGGTGTCTTGACTTGTGGGCCTGTGAGCCCCCCCATCCATACATCAGGCAGTGATTTCCTGTGTTTCCGAGAATGCCTTTCTACAGCCCTCTGCTGTGCTGAAGCTTTAGCAGGAGTGTCTGTCTTTACAACGATAGATTTCTCCCTCTGCTGAACGTCCAGGTGGCTCTAAAACAAAGACTTCCTTTGGTTCTGAGGGACCAACACAAAAGCCAATGTTTACAATTGATGATGATGATGAGTATTTTGTGCGGCCAGACTTCCACTGTGGCCGCACTGGAGGTATCAGTGATGTCCTGTTCATGTTTGGCCATACATCTGTATGAAAAAGAAAAATGCTCCATCACAAGCATGTTGGTCCCTACGGACTGTCTCGCATCACCAGTCCATCTTTGTTTGCAACAAGACAATAACTGTTGAGAGGTTTCTTTAGCATTCTCCTTATACAAGCCATTGTCCCTCCATGCTGCAGCTGCAGTTGTATTGTTACTGATGTATGCACAAGGCTCATTTGTGAGTAAATCCACTCTGCATGGACTTTCTAAGAGAATACTTTTGCACTATTATGGTGACCTTAATTGTTTTTGAGAAGGGACTTGTTTTCTGTCCTGAAAATGAAACTGATGCAGTCAAAAATGAAATTAAAGCAAATGGAGAATGTCTTAGGACAAAACTGATTTTAACTTTAACAAGTTGAAAATTTGAGTTTGTGGAACATGGCCGGGCCCTCCTTCTGATTCTCAAATGACAGGTGAGAAACATAAATTTTTGAGAGCATAATGACCATTACGCAGATAATGCGGATGTCTCAATCTTTGCAAAACCTTGTTATGTGACGATGATGTATTTTAAGTGCAATTTCTAACAAGAATTTGTAGCATTATGGATTGGTTCAAAAATATTGTATGATGTTGATTGACAGTGTTGGAGGAAGGATAATGTTCATGTTTGACATGTTCTCTTTGAAAATACTGTCTGTTACTGGGCTCGGGATCCCTGTATGATTTTTATATACTATTTTTGAGTTGTTACTCATTTATTATCCCTGATTCAGATGGCTGTGCTAACAGCATAAAATGCATGTGTACAGTGTAAATGTGAAAAACACTTATCTGGAAATAAACCTATTTAAATAAAAAGCTCCTTCAAGTAAAGCAGTTACTAAAGACTTAGAGACTTCACTTTATTGATCCCTTTGGGATGACTCCCTCAAGGAAATTGAATATGCTTTGCAAGTAGATGGTGACTTTGTTTTTCAGTATCCCACAATGGTCTCAGGCTGAGGACATCACTTTACATTCAAGTGCTTTTGTTACAGTTAGACTTTGAGTACATAAATGCATTTTGATTCTGGTCTCTCTTTGAGAATACTTTTTTATTTCGCCATTGGTTGGGTACTAATAATTACTGTAATATTATTAGTAATGGGTTAGGTTTGGTAGCTAGTTATTGTAGTCCTGTTCAAAATATCAGTGTCATATATAAAGATGCATTTTCCCATTGATCCTTAATATCACAATCACAAAGTATATAAGGGACTAACCTGTGAAAACACGGACATGCCGGGCACTATGCGGATGTTTACAAACGTAACTTCCGTTGTGTTTTGTATGACGTCAAGTTGTAACCGACAGGCCACACCAATCATTGGAAAAAAAAGCGTAACAATTGCCACTTGTCGCCTGTACTGGTAACTTTACATGCCCAACAAAAACTGGTTGAAGACTGTATTTCTTTGAATGATTTTTAGAGAGAAAATACAGAAAGTTTGCCTTCACTTTGACTACATTCCATGATGTTTCACAATAATGGTTTTATTTTGAAAGCAACAGGAAGCGCTAATGCCTAATATGGCTAACTTCCTGTCAAGTTCTCAAATGTGATTTCTGAGAGCGGGAAGAATCATGGGAAGAGCAAAGTGGACCTGAACAGCGTCTGTTCGCTCAGTCAGTTTCCTACAGCGTTACTGAATGTCGCCAGTTCAACCCCTGGATATGGACACAGCAATGAACCAACCCAACGGTGGAAAACTTGGCATTAGCATTAGCTCTTGCTAAGTAGTCAGTAATAACGTTAGCTAACACTGACTCTCGAGGCTCAGGTAGGTGGCAACTTCACACACAGAAAAGGGAAAAATAACGTTTGTTAAACTGTTGACACGTTCCTAACACCGTGTTAGTTAAGTATGTGGTGTATTACAGTAGCTTAGTTTATGTGTTAATGAGCAACTAACATGGGGTTTTTTCACATTGATACTAACTTAGGTCATTTAAGTTTATCAGACATGTTTCTTGTTTAGAAAGGCAGCCCTGTGAAGCAGGCACAGAGGAACATGGCTGCATCCCCAGTGGAGTACACCATTGGAGGGGTGAAGATCCACTTCCCCTGCAAGGCATACCCATCCCAGCTGGCAATGATGAATTCAGTGAGTGACATCTTCATCATTTGGTTAACTAACTAACCATTTAAGTGAACCAGTATAGCCTATGGGCCTGTTATAATTTATAGGGAATTGAAAATACCCTGTGCACAGCAGTGCTTCTGTTTCGGTTGCCAAAACCCCTCAAAGCAAATCAAATCTGATGAAGCAACATGCCAAACACATAGTTTTTTTTTGTTTTTATGTTAATGTAATAAAACAGTCATCATTCCCAGTATCCTAGTGTGCACTGGAATATATATTGGATGAAGTAATGAATAAGTATTTTATCCATCCACCCTTGCACCAATGATCTACACCTCCTTATGCCAGTATATCACAGGGCAGAAAGATATAGACAAACAACACGTTCATGTCAGTGTGAACAGCACCAATAACATTGAATCTGGACTTTTCAAATCTGATTAGGCCAATTTGATATGTGGTCCTAAGTCAGACACTGGTCTGAGTTTTTGCAATGGGACATCAGTGTAAACGGTCAGAATAAAGTGTGACATTTCTGTACAGGCAAAACTTGAAATACGGCCTGTATTTGCTCCAACTCCACATCTACACACACTTCTGTACAGAAGTAGCAGCCATTGCTCTACAAAAAATAAAAAATGTGGCTTTCTTTCTCCTCATTCTCATTCTCATCCTCATTGTCATTGTCACCTGCTCGCAAATTTACCACTGCACATCAACATATAAATGAAACTGTAAAAAAAACCTGATGTAACTTCAGTGGCCTCCATATTTACTTCCGTACAGCAGTGTGCTGCAAGTGATGTCTTTGTTTAAAGTATATTTTTTTCAGCTT